AACCTAACTTTGAATTAGTAACATTTAATTGCAAAGTTTAATAGGTAATAACAAGTTATTGTTATGTGTTTGTAAACACTAGTCAACCCATTCTTAATATTTGGAATACTAGTGTGAGCTATTGCGTAAATGAAAAATGAGATTAAACTCTTAATGGAGTTTATAATTTAATGTCTATAGCAATAGAGACATAAATAAGAAACTCCACCTATATAAACATAGAAGCGGTGCTACTTCAACAAGAAAATTAGAAATTTTCTCGTAAATATTTATGAATAAGGATAAGCATATGGCCATAATAGTACTAAAACAATTATAAACCTCTAACAAAATATTAAATAAGTATTATGTGTATTATATCTTCAATTTTAACACTAGGAGTTAAGTTTAATCTGTGGACATGATCAACTTTATTAGAATTCTAAGATATATATACTAATTGAAGGTTTAAATCAAAAGACACCTTCTTATATTCATAATATTTATTTATGTGAAAAATTAAGATTAAGCACCAACATTTCAAACTAGTGAGAGATTGTTAGTAGTTTAAAATGTAGTGTATCTGACATTAAGTAGAAAGATCATTTATATATGATTTAAAAGAGATTACATATATTAATTAAGTAATTAAATGTTAGAGTAGGTCAAGTCATTTGGGCTTATTAGAAGTTTTTCTAGTGGATCAGACAATTTTAAAAGTCAAAAGATAGGCACTTGGGCAAATAGATTTAATTTTTAAATCTTTTAAATTTTTTTGTTTATTTATTTATTCGAAATATTACCCATTATGAATAAATATGTTTTGAACAAAGAAAAAATGACTGTTTAAATAAAGTTTATTTAAATAAAAAAATGATTATACAAAATATCATAACTTTTTGAATTAGTTTGATTGGTGACTATTCATTTGTTATAAATAGATCTTTTTACCTGATCAATTTCACTATTTTTTATTTAAAAAGTTTTTAAAGCTTTGTTGTATCTTATAGATATAATTACCTTTAAGATAATGTTTTTCATGCCTCAAAGTCATACTTTTTTCTTTTATATTATTTCTATTTTCTTAAATTTTCTAACAAGTTCTTCATTAGCAATATCGACAACTACAATAATAGAGGATGGCACGTTGGCGCTAGACAAGCCAATGGCAAAGGCAAAAGGAATGGTGAGATCATTGGAGGTGGTACATTCAAGCCAGAGAAGGCCAACATTTTGAAATATTTTATTTAGATATATTTTTAATCGACAAGATTTCTCAAATAGAAAAAGATGACTGGTTCAAAAAAAATTTTGATTAAAAAGCTTAAATTTTAAAATAAAAAAATTCAAGTCTCAAATTCTAATCAAGTTGCAAATATATTAATATTTAATAATTTAATTCTCTTTTAAAACTAAAAAATAAATAGCTTATTGTTTTATATAATGAAATAAATTATTTGATATTAGTTTTTTAAAATTATTTTCTATATGTTGTATTCAAATAAATATAATAACATAATATGTGAATAAATTAAAAAAATAATAATTACTTTTTATATTTACTTGAATTTAATATATCGAATAATGTAAATTTAATAGTTTTAGACACGATATAATGATACAATATTAAAATAATGTAAAAATATAAAAATGATATAATATAAAATTTTGATAAAAAAAATATAAGTTTGATAAAAACTATATATTTTATATTTGACATATTAATATAAATTATAATATAATAATTTTTATATTTTATATATATTTATATAAAATATATACGATATAAATATATAAATTGATCATACTATTTTATTGTATTATTTCTTGTGCATATAATATTAAATTATGTAACAACAATAATATTTTCATATTTCATAACTCTCAGTTTGATCCAATGAAGATTATACTATAGCAGCCAAGGAGATGGGAAGATAAAAAATATCATGACCAGCAAATGATTGATTCAATTGTTTAATACTCGTCTTTTTCAATCTATAGATAATTACTTATTTTAAGTTGTCAGATACAACACATCTTATTTTAATTTAAAAAATTAAACTATCTATTTATCCTAAATTTTTTTTTACAAAAAAAAAAATCATAACTATGGATAAAGTGGATTGAACTTGAGATTTAGAATATTCTTTAGGTAATACATAATGATGATTAATTTAATTAAAGTGCAAAAGGGCGTGTGGACGACACAAGACTCGTGCAGATGCGACAAAAAACGAAGATTATATGCTTTAAAGTTAGCGGGAAAGCTGGAGGGCGTGTTTGGCACATGCCTTTGTTCAAAACATTTCACATGATAGCCTTTATAAATACACGAGACAAGAATACTGTGAAAGCTGACCCAGAAATATTGTTGTTCAAATTATTAAGTGGAGAATAATTAGAAAATAATAATAATAATAAATGGAACTTTTCTGCGAGAAGATAAATTATCCATGGGAAACAAATTTTTTTTTCCATGGTTAGGGTAAGTGGGACATGATATGAATTAAACACTTATCTAGGATGATGGGATCCAGGTTTTGATCTCTGTATATCATGATCTATGGAACTATAAATTCTAATATTTTCCTTGGAGGATAACTATCCTTCATGTTAAGATTTTATTTGGATATTCGATAAAAAAATTATCACCAACCATGTTTTTCTAACAGCTAAACAAAAAAAAAAAAAATTGACAATAGATTTTGCAATTTTATTAGAAAAAATTTAGTAAAAGTAAATCCCATTGCAAAATTCTTTTTTTTTTTTTTCGTTCTATGTCTGTCTAAAATTCGGATTAATTAACAGCATTAATCTTATTTTAATTACCAAAGTCCCGTAATTACATATGTAATTTCATCCATCATCAAGTGATCATAGTATCATTGGTGTGATCATGAGTAGTTTGGTTAGACAGTAGTATAAGAAGAAACAGTTTCTGTCTGATTAATTGTCATAGTGGATTAAACATGGAGAGTTTGGTTTGGTTTGGTGCAATTGGACCACTTTCTCATTCTCATAAATTACATTTCATCATGTAATTTAGATCAAGTATTGACAAGTGATCATTTTGAAACCAAAACTGAAAATTTGAAAAAGAAAATTGAGAATGAACCATTGCCTTTTTTTTTATTATTATTATTAACTTTGGAAGAATGAATGAATGAATGATGATATCAAATCAACTTTCCATCATCTTGCTATCATGCCCACTAATTCCTTGCCTCATACAATCTCTCCATATGGTTCCTTTTGATTAGAGAAAAAAATATCTTCTAGCTTTTGGTCATCATACATGTTTCTACCATACTTACATTTAATTAAATATATATATTCCAATTTTATTTGGGCTCCCTAAAAAATGTACTAAAATGGAACTTAAAGATTCATTTCATGGACATCAGTACCTATGAATTCAACCATGTTTGTTTCAAATTCCTTCACTGCCTTTAAAGAATAGCACACTTTGTCTTGAACCCTTCTTTCTGTATATGGTTAATAAAAATAATGTTTAAGATTATATATGGCCACTGATAAAAGAGACATAATCTATACAAAGTTTTTTCTAATTAATGGTTTGTTTGTGCTTAAATTTGATGAGTATTGCATAAAATATATTTAAAAAATTGATGAGCTTCTTTCTAATTTTATAAAAAAAAAAAAAAAACCAATGATGTGAGATTTTTTTTTTTTTTGTGTGAATGTAATCTTATGCTAAATATTATGATGAGACTAGGAAAGATAATCTTCTCTCATTACGTAAATTTCATTTCATAACTTTCATCGTTTTTATTTTATGATTTAAATTTGAAACTTTCAAATAAAATCTCAAATGTTAACCATTCACAAGATAGGAACATTGGTAAACAAAAAAAAAAAAACTATACCATCTTGTCAGCTGCACCGCTGTGGGTGAGGATTTCTTTTTTGTTGGCAAAATCTTTGCCTTTGCTGTTTTTTTTCAAGTTTGTGCCAAGCATGCAGCATTTTCATTTCCATGGAAGAACTGGTCCATGTCATTGCACTGTTGAGCCAAACGCCCTGCCATTCTGGGTAAAGGATAAGCACAGGTTCTTGCTTTGCTTTTTTTTTACCCTTTTTTTTGGCAGTGCCATTTTCACTGATTTTCTCTATATTTGAATTTAAGCTTTAATCCCCATTAATTTTAACTTTTTTTTTTCTTCTGATCTTGATTTGGATGATTCTTTCAGTACATGGAAGGGAACTGATGATAAAGGTAGCTTAGGAAAGCCGACATCCTTGTGATCCGCCGAAAACTGAAAGGGATTCGTGCAAAAATAAATATTTAAAAAAAAAAAAAAGAAAAAAAAGAGAAAAAGAGAACGACCGCTAAAAGCTTCAAAGGGAGCAAACGCTTTTGATTTTGGAAGCATGTTGTTTGATCTAAGTAGTTGAGTTCAGTTCATATACATATATGTCAAATCCAGCAATATATATTCATAAAAATACAAAGATGATCAAAACAAACCAAACCTAATATTACTGCATCTAATAATATATATATATATATATATATTCGTAGCAATACGAATACAACAAAACAAAATGATGAGAGCTACAATTATTAGAAGAAAATCAAATGCACATGATCTACGTAAAATTTACATATCCGATAAAAACACATCATCACTCAGCATGATCAAAAAGAATAATCACATCAACAAAATGATATTTTTTTTAACTCTTATATTTTAGACTAATATTTTACATCCCCGTAAATTAAAGGACTAAATTTGTTTAAACTATTATATAAGACTAAATTCTGATTCCATAATTTGTCTCTTTAAAAAACAAACTAAATGTAGAGCCATTAGATGGTAAAATATTCTTTCATGAGAATCCACCAATGATGGTGTAAAAATACTAAACCTGCTAAAAATCATGATTAGTGATTACACATCAGATTGCTTGAGTCACAAACATTTCATAAAGAACCCCAAATATCAGCTATTTATCACATATCTCAAAATAACTGGTTCTAAATTTAGGAAACAAAAAGGTCACTAAAAAACCTTCTGTCAAGTTTACTGCATTTAGTAATTTACAAACATAAGACTACTCAATACGGTAGCTTCAGTAACTCACATCAAAGTTGGTGGTTGAGATAGCGTGTTTAAAAGGTAAATGTTGTGGGCATCAGGGTAATATAAACTACGAGGGAAAAGTCTAAACGCACAGGAAGTTTCATAACTGACACAACCTAATGTACTAAATTTACTTAGGATTTCTGAGAACAATTATAACAGAATCTCCCCTAAGGAACATCTTACTGATGAATCTGTCCTTGTTAACAGGAAGTGCCTTTTTCTTGCCTTTCCCAGTCTTTGGTACCTATATCAAATAGAAACAGTGTTACCCTTTTATTCAATTGTAATGAAGGCATACAAAAGAAAAAAGAAAAAGCAAACCTCAGTCCACATCTCCCTGACATTTTCCAGAACCATATTGCAGTGGCGATCGAAGGCTCTCACGCGACCCAGAAGTTTTTTATTGTTACGACAATTGATGAGAACCTGCTTTCATACAAATCAAATTCAGTTCTAAATAAGAACATGTAGATTACTAATTGCTAGGGGATCACAACATGGGCACATTACCTGAGTGTTATTTTTGACACTCATCATCAGAACAGACAGTGGTCCTGTGTTAAATTCCTCTTCCTCATTCTTTACCGTCTGCAACAAACAGTTTGATAAGCTTTTGGACAATCAGAAATTGGAAAGGTAATAACTTTTGAATGGCAGATAAAAAATCAAGAGATATATATCAGAAAACATATACAATCACGCAAAAACATAACAACAATAATAAGGCATTTAGGACAACTTACCTCTTCTTCCATTGGCCGACTGCAAAGATAGAAGAAGCAAACCAAAAGGAGAGGGTTAGTATATCATATACAAAAAACAGCAGAATAATGCTACTGAATAAAATGAGCAAAGAAAAGGAAAATGATCAACCAATTAGTACCTCATTTTCAGCTACGGAAGTTTTCAACACTATCTCCAAGTTAAACCAAGACAAGGATCTGCAAAATGCATGGCAAAATACCATTAGAACACTGGAAAATCAAGAAAGTCTTAATACACTTGAAAATGTGAACCAGTATGGGGGAGTAGAACAACTTTCCATGTCTACCAAAATGTAAACTTATTGGAACACTTATTATAGAATACGAAAATGGATAACTATACCAGCACCATAAAAATTGCCCAAATGAAAACGATATTATTATAGCATCATTGTAAATTGCCCAATGAAACAAAAACAATGGATTACTTGAAAAAACCTATGCAGAATCCAGCTTTTCAATGATTTAAATATTTAACTTAAAACAACAAATGATGCCAGTTCAGTTTTTCCTTTTAATTGATTCTCACGAAGAAACCACGGTATCACAATACAGATCACATTGAAAAAATGTTCCGAAACTCTTCAGCTCAGGTCTCCATAAATTTTCAGCATTTATTAGCTCAGGAGAACGAAAGTTTTTACAGTCAACATCACCAGAGTGACAGAAGAAGGTTCAGTGCCTATTCCGAAAAGGTCACTTACAAGTTATAATTAATAGTACAACAAATATATATAAAAGCTAAATTATAAAAAGTCATAAAAGTTTCACATTAAGGATAAAAATGAAGCCTCTTCAGTTCAGGTCTCCAGATATTTTCCGCATCGACTTTCTCGGAAGAACGAAAATGTTCATTTCCAATAATCATCAGAGGCAAACATGAAATAATCAACCAATACAAAAACATATAAAATTGATATTAAATAGAGAAAAAACTACGATGTCTCTTCAGCTGAGGTATCCATATGGACTTCCGCATCGATTTTTCTCTCAGAAGAACGAAAATTTTTTAAATTGAAATCATTTGCTATCATTAGAAAATCGAAAACCCTATAAAATCTAACACGAACTTGAAAAATAGCGAAAAATATAGCTAAGAAAAACTATGACAAAGTAATAGAAAAGCGGAAAGAGAAGAAGACGGAGAAAAGAGATTTACCTGATTGGCGCTACACTGATGAGATCTGATTTCAAGAGAAGCAGTTGAGAGCCGTTTTATAGACTCCGACGACCCACAAGAAACCCTGGTTATTTTAAAATTAGGGTTTTTGCTATCGGGCTTGAACTTTTGCGTCGTTTAGTCCAATGGTATTAATAAGGTTTGGGGCTTTTGGGCTATGGTTTCTTCAGTTGATGGGGCTTGGCATTTGAGGTTGATTAACAACTGCAGGTTTTGGGCCTCAAGAGTTATTTAAAACGGAAACAATAAAAAACAAAGAGAAGCAAAGGGTAACAGTGTTTTCCTGAATTTGAAAAGAAGGGAAAACGTAAAATGTTAAAAGAGCCCTTCAACTATATTACTTTTTCTTAATAAGTTTTTATATTTTATTTATACTCAAATAAACTCTTATATTTAAATTTATATTTAAATAAATTCTCATTTCAAACAAAATATTAATTTGCAAAAAGAATTTATTTAAGTACAAATTAAAAATAAAAATTTTATTTTAATATAAATTAAAAATTAAAAACTCACTTCGTACAAATTAAAAATTAAAAATTTATTTGAATGTAATAAAAATATAAAAACTTATCTACGACAGTAAAATTCAAAATTTTTTTTTAATAATTTTATCCATAGAAGAAGTGCAAATTCACTGTTTTTTTAATCTTTTAATTTTTCTTTTACCAAAACAAAGAAAAGATGAAAAAAGTTGTTTTCTTTTACCTTTTTCTTTCCTTCTTATTTTCCGTTAACCAAATACGATGTTAGATTTTTTTTATTATTTTATTGAATGCATACAACATAAGTCAGTGTATTGTTTACTCCTAATTGCTTACTTAGTTGTTAAATGATTTTTACTTAGCTGAATTATTAGGCATGTGATGGTCCAATGAAAAAAAAAAAAAGGGGTTACTTGGAGGTGTAGTGCACCCGGGAGCACCCACCGGAAAGCATCATACATCCCAATATTTTCGGCTCTTCTTGCCCTAGATTCACAGGATTCGTGCCTGATCATAAGTCTTGAAACGAATAAAAAATACCGGTTCATAAAAAGCTAAAGTGTAAAGAATTAATATCAAGGCACTAGTGAAAAACAAATAATAAATCAACATTTTTTACATAGCCAGCCACCAATTACATTTTACATACAACTGATAGAAGATTAGCTTTAATTTTGTATTTCATGCCACAAAAATCTGTATTGAGAGGATACCTGTTATCTGCTGCGGTCACACAAGCAAGTGAAACAAACTTTTGTCCACCATTGTTATTCTAGTAAGATGCCCATTCTTATGAAATTTTAACTAGTCCAAAGAAAATGCTCCATTGCAATATCTGCAAGGTTCATAGAAACAGAATGACATATCTGCCATTAGAAGATCTGAAATCCCATTAATATACCATACTGTAAAATGTGATGTTCAGGAAAAAAAAAATGCTGAAGTAGGATGGACAATGGTGTTAGTCAATGATAAACAAGAAACAGCTCAGGACGGTGAATTACTCACTAATAAATCATTATAACTAAAAGTGTAGTTTGATAGAAATCAATAATGATAACTGCATACTTCCATGAATGACTAGAAGCTTGAAAATGTTCAAGGATTTTGTCATGCAAGAAGAAAGTTATGGTATGAAGAATAAGTAATAAAAAGGAATGGATAGTAAAGTGATAACAACAATCTTGTAGAAAAGGATTGCCGAATCACAGCTAAAATCCACTACCTGTTACTGAATTTATCAACAGCATCAGATGCATATAGGATCGTTTCATTTGCTTTCTCTAGAACCATATAAAGCTCCTTCCCTCCAGTAACACGGGTAACGGCCCAAGCATTATTTTTTGCTCTAATACACACTTCCAAATCTTTATCACGACCTGGATTATCCCATTTTGCTCGACTCTTTTCTGAATCTACTTCTTCTCTAAGCTTATTTAAGGCAAGTAAAGATTCCTGCATTACAATAAAAAAAAAAAGAGCCATCAAAGCTTTAACATTTTTCTTGATAACTCAGCAGATTGTGACAAGGTTTGAGGGGTGCAAGCATCTACTTTAAGATGATAACTGATTCAACTGTAAGAACCCCATAAGAAGGTTGTTTAAATATTTCCAATGACCTAGGAATTGGACATTGTAAGCCATCAGCATTCGAAAATATCTAGGCTTCACAAAATCTATGTCAATCTTCAGCCACTAACTTTAATGGTTGGAGGATGCAAACAGATAGGTCTCCATGAACTGTTATGATCCTTGCTTTAAACCAGGTTTCCGAGAAAAAGTAAATAAATAAGGCACCTAATTGGCCAACAAAACTATTGATGAAGTTCCAAATTCATAATTTTGGTGCATAAAATATTTGACCAACCAGTGATTCATCCCTCAAGGCAGACATATTTCATGATGATGAAAATTGAGAAAAATGCAGTTTACAATATGTGCATGATCGAACAGATGCAACACTAACCTCAAATCAATCAAGAATCAAGATGAGCATATCTCAATTCATCCAGTCTCCCCTATCTACAATATTGCTCTTCATAATATTTAAAGTGAAATTTTGAAGTTGATAATCACCAAGTTATATGACACATCAAATGCTATCACCTCTTGGCAAAATTTATATCACTGAAATGATCACAAATATTCATTTTTTTTTCATGTCAAAGCAAACAATTTGTTGTAACCATGCAAACAACAGCAATGTCTTTTACCTTCGTCAATGTTGCAACCTTTGCTGGGGGTGAAGCCCTGGATATGTCTCTGTTACCATCCACTAACAAGTACCGATACCCACTGACATGATAAGCATTTTCTCCACCCCATCCCTTTGACAACTTTTCTTCAACTTTCAAAATCTTTAGTGATGCCTAGAGAATTTAGCAAAAGCAAAACGAATGAGATGGTCAACCATGCTGATTATGGAAACAAGTCATTTCTTGACTTGGTGTATTTACATTGCAACTAATAACTAAGGATCCTTGTCCATTAGGAACTGCTTTGATGCTTACATTCATGTTTATTTATTCATTTCAAATGTCCTACAAATGAGTGTCATTTATTGATATGATATATCTATCAAGAAGCAAAGGTTTTTTTCAAATGTTTGTATCACCAACCCTTGTTCATACCAACAATGAATTGAAAAAGATGGATGCCAAATTTGTGAGTGGAACAAAATGGATGAAGTGCACAGAAAATTTAGGTAAAAAGACTTGGAAAGAAAGAAAATAATTCTAATATCAAGTCCAAAATAGTGCCACTGATTTTGATAAAAAGATAAAACATAATCATTTCATATCTTGCAATCTAAACAAGCAGAAACCATCAAGGCCAAGGGCTATAGGAGGGCAAAGGCTCTAAGATACAAAAGGAAGATTTTGAAGGACAAGAAGTGGGAAAGACAACTATCTAAGAAATAAATGAATTAGACATGCTGTAACATAATGTGGATGCATAGAGAAAAACGCATAGAATTTGTGAAACTAACAGAAAAGTATTTAAATGAACTGGGTGATAAATGGAAATACTAATGGTAAGTATGATTTATGGCACATGTAGGAACCAACATTTTCAAGAAGTTGTTGTTTCACAATTGAAACACCTTGCTCCTCATTAAGGATGGAAGAACAAGGGATAAGAAGGATCAATGTAAGGCTTTTGTACTGATAAGCACAGAGATACATCCTCTCCTCCGTCTGCTGTAGCCAAACTGTTGGAGTGGTGATATTCAAGCCACCAACATCCATGCCCCAAATATCAGTGATAAGAAAACCATCCTTCCCTTTGAACCACTTGTCATGCTGCAAGGGCCTTGAAATATGATATCTATTATCTCCATCAGGAGAAGTATCACGTGAGCCATAAAATTGATCCGAAACAGATCCAGAGTGGGCAAAGGTAGATCCAGTAGCAACATTTGATGAAGAATTTCCTTTGCGTAAATAGGACCAGGAACTTGCTCCAGAGGATAGAGCAGGAGGGGTTAGCCTTAGAACAGCATATGTGAATAAGTTTACGGTATCCTCCTGACAACAAGATCGTTAGGAGCATTAGTATTTGATATTAAAAATGCCCAACAGGAATAGTTCCTATCAGAATTTTGACAAGGAAAAGTTATTTAGCTATCGAAGATTTGGCACTTCAGGATAAAAGGTGAGGGATCTAACAAAAATTAGAAAACTGCTACATCAGCTTTGAAGATCAGACCATACAGGAGAAAGTGTTGTTGACACCAGGAGGTCTTGAAATAAAATGAGTGAGGAGCATGGTTTGTTGCCAGCACAAGATTCTAGAATTCTGACAAGTGTCTGCAAAAACAAGACAGAATCATTAAAACCATAAAGATATAACAATTGCACAACTGCCATTTTAAGGTACATCATTTACTATATGCTTAGAGTCGACAGATAAACAAAGTTAATTGATTTCCATAAGCCTCTGATCACCCGGTCTTAAAATGTTTCAATTTAAGTTTAAAAACATGTTCAACATTGGAGTAGAACAAAAAACACAACAATACAATGTTGCCAACTCTGGCACCTGGAATAAAGGGCCAAATAGAATTATCCAAACTCATTTTTGAAAGAAATCAAACAATTATTTAGAAGATCAACCATCAATAATTGTGCAATTCCGCTCATCCATTAATGCTATATCTTTTATTCCTGTAAATTAAGAAAGCAAAGCAAACAGAGGCATCTAGTGCTTTATTAAACTCCTTTTACTAGTTTTCTTAAGAATATCCTAAACCTTGATTGTGTGTATAGGAAGAAAACAAGACAACCTGATATAAAAAAACATGTTCTATAGAAGACTCATGAATCTGGATCTTTCAGGTGAGATTGATTTTGTTAACTTGCCAACTGAAAAGGGAAAAATTCTTGATGATTCCAGAAACAATTATACTCACTTCGCTCTAATTATATAGTTAGAAATCTAAGGTGGGAAGAATATATGGGAAAATTTTTACACCCAGGGTGGAAAACATAGTTTGATAGTTCAACTGATATGGAGTAGTGATATCTTCAAAACTTACATTCAAACTATATGATTATGACAGGAATTGTAAGCAGAACAAATTCATTCAAGCATAGAAATTATCAATTAGACATTATACATTCCAGTCAGCAGTGAATTTAGTTACAAGGGAGCATAACCTGAAACTACCAAAATTTAAATTTCTTTATAAAAAGTAGGAGCTTTAAACCACTAATTTGGTAAAATATGAATGAATTTTGGCATTTCAACAACATAAGACTGCTGAACACAATTCTTAATACAAACCTGAACTTCAATTGCAGCCTCCCGTCCCACGGTTAGCATCTGTACAGTCCTTCGTTCCTTTAAACAGTCACGGAATGAAGGCAACTGGAGATTCTTCCCAACCAGAAAATCTGCCCCAAAGATAAAGTTATAAACAAGGCATGAGATATAACAACTTCAGCAAAACTTGGAAGCACAAAATCCAGTGAAGGCCATTTGATACATCAACTTCAGCATTACCCCAGCAGCACTTATCTGAGGGAGACTGCTTTTGATAATGCTAACAATTAAAGACTTACAATGAAATATTTTGGAACAAATAAAATTAGCTCAAAGCAAATTTTAAGCAGGCATAAAATTTCATAACAACTCACCTCTTAGATAATCCATGATGAAAGGGTATAAATGAGCACGAGTTAGTTCTCCATCAGGTTCTTTGTCAAGCAATGCTCTTATAGATCCATGAAACATCATGAAAAGAGAGTGAATTTCCTTAAGAAGCTCTCTTAATGCATCAATGCGCCATATGGCTCCCGACTCCTTATTTTTCTCCACAATCTTCAAAAAGGTATAGGCCAAAATTTAACACATTGACCAAGATATTCGTACGTTTCTCTCTTCCAACCATAACGCTTGTAATTGAGGAAATACTTCTAAACATTGCTAAAATGATTTTAAGACAGTCTATTAAAACCAATAAAAAATAATTTCTACATCTCCCGAAAAATTATCATTCAGAATCAAGTAGACATAGAAAAACATTTCATACAAGAAAGTAACAACCACATTCATACCATGACCATCCAGATATCAGGCTCTGCCTCATAGAAAACACGAGAGTGTCTCTCTGCTTCAATGACCTCACAAGCCGCCTCCGGAGAGAAAATTCTGCAGAAAAATTAAAATCAGTTCTGAAAGAACTACCTAGTCTAAGAAGCTTTGTTCTAATTTTACTTTGAATATGTTCGATCACGGAAGTGGCTGCTTGGTACTGACCGCGTGAATGTGATAAGCCCTTCGCTGAGCCCAATCACGGAGAGTTGAGTAGAAAAGGGCAAATCAGCAGGAAAGAAGAATAAAATTTTGTCAAGTTCTTGGCCTTCATTTTGGCCCCTTCTCAAATCAAATATGCAGAGCTGCATGCCTTCACTACCAGTGCCAATAAAGGCCAAACCCATAATTTTTTGGTACTGGTTCAATGGACCTAATTGAAATAAATAGGAAAAGCAAAATTTTGAATGCAAAAAGCTTGGAATTAACGGTAAAAAAAGCGACAGAGAAATGCAAAAATACTTACGGTGTAAAATTTGGTGATGGAACTTCTCAGATTCTCGGCAACCAAACAAAGAGAGCGAGTAGAATTCTGGTTTGGAAATGAATTTTGATTAGTAGGTGGAAGAAGGAACTGTGAAATATAAAAAAAAAAATTAAATTATAAAAAAAAAAGGGAAAAACTTTGGGATTTGGGTCTAAAGCCCAATTTAATTTGGGCCTCAAGGTTTAGGACGAAAGCCCAAAACAAGACATCCCGACTGGGAGGGTTTCCTCCTCTCCCATTTCAAGCTATCACTTTGGTTGCTAGCAAAATAAAAGGAAAGGATTTTTCGAATGAATAAAAATACGTTGCTTGTTCACTTTTATTTGGCTTGCTTATTTCTTTGAATGAAACTATTAATTTATTAATAAACATAATTTTTTATTATTAATTTTCTTATTTCTTCCTTTTTTTTTTAATTTGGTGGATAAACCATTATATCTTTCCCACAACTCCCTAGCCATCCTTTTATATTTTTCTTCAAAAAAAAAAAAAATTCAAGCCAATTGCCAAAGTGATTACAAAAAAAACAAGTTAAACAAGGGCAGCCTAACTACAAAGTGAACATAAATAATTAAAAAAAAAAAAAAAAGAAGCTAAGAAGAAGAAAGTCCAAAAGCCAAACATTAGAATACCAAAAGATGCATGTACGCCTGGTAAAGACAACATATTTTTAATTTGTTGAACTTGGTAACAAGTTCTATCTTTTCTGAATGATATACTTTTATATAGATTTCATGAGATTCGTATATTTTTATCATATAGAATTTAAAATTTATATATTTATATTATATTTTATATAAAAATTTTATGTTATAATTTATATCGATATAAAAATATAAAATTTTTTTTATTTTATTAAATTTATATATAATTATTACTAAAATTTAAATTATTACTTTTATTTTTTTTATATATAATATCATATTTTAAATTATCATTTCTAAATAAAATTGGACTCAGATTTTGTGCCAGACAATTCCCTGCAAAAATGGGGAAAAAGTTAGGCCATGCCATGTGCAAGATACGCAAAAATGAGACTTTTACCCTCTTTGCTTAGTCGCAGGATTCTCATCATCCTTATTCACTCACAGATCTTTTATTCAGCTCTTTTTGTCGGCCACATTCATATGAAAAAATGAGTAAAAAAATATTTAAACAAGACACTGTTTGGTTTCCATAATGTAACGAGAGGGAGGGTCCCAAAATTAGGTAGTTACCAAACATCAGACGAAAATAAACACGGCTACCTAAACTGACAAAGATTGAGACAAAGCCCTTCTTCTAGGACAACCCAAACAAATAACAATAATAAAGAAAATTAATGGAAAACAATCACTCAAGTCAACTCAATTAGAAACATTCCCATTAAAACCAAAATATAAAATAATTTTTATATTTTATATATATTTAATATAAAATAAATATATATAAATATATGAATTATTAAATTTTAAAAAATGAAATCATATTAAGAACACATACAAAGTATAAAAAGGAAAATGTTTGGGTGTAATAAGAAATATCTTATTCAACCATGAAAATAAAATTCCACCGAAAGGAAAACAAAATCATAGTAGATCCAATCAAATCTGTCAAAGGGGTAGATACAAAGATTAAAGATCAATCTTAAAACACTGCTATCCATCAACTTCAAATCAATACTATTTTCTCCCTTATGCTGTACAATCTGAAGAAGAAAAATATCACTTTCTCTCATGACAATGTGGGACTGCCCTCCCAACTAACCCCAACTAAGTTCCAAAACAAAGACCATTCTTGGAGAGTGATTTTCTTCAATTCATTGAAAAGTATCATTTTTTCAACTGTTATAGCCATTGATTTTTATTGTTTTAAGTACCCTTTTTTTTTTTAATTAATTGAGAGGAGCTCTATGAGGAATGCCTTTCCTTTTGTTCACTCGTTTCCTAGGCTTTAAACTTGTGCTCACCCATGTTTTAGTCTCCTCAGAAACATCTGTTGATGAGAGTGAGGATTGTTTTTCTTCTGTGCTTATTTCTGACTTTTGATTGTCTTTCCAGGAAAGATCAGGAAATTCTTGCATCAGCAATTCCATTTTATCACTTTGGTCTTTAGGCTTCACATCAACAGCTGATACCTGAAACATTCATTAGATTATGGTTAAATTGTTAAATCAATTGCTACTTCAGATAAAAGGAAATGGGAAATATAAAAAATTTGTATCATAATTCGTATTGACGTAAAAAATACGAAATATATTTTTTTATTTTTAATAAATTCATATATAATTTTTATTAAAATTTTAAATCAGATCATATTCGAGTCATGTTATGTTTTAAATTATCAGTTCTAAATTCAGGTAGTAAATAAATCCAAATGAATTTACCTTGCATGAAATGGAGCAAAAGCGATTAGGCGGGTCTTGAAGGTATCTCCGACAAGCTTCACAGGCAGCACCAGTTTTTGATTTTGTTGATGGTTTGGCATCTTTTGCTTGAGGCCGAGGATTCAAATGTACAGCTTTTTCACCATTGATTTTGTATGTCTGTCAAGATAATTACAAATCATTTAAGTTAAGACAACTATGATCATTCCAATTGCTACTAAAGTTTATCAAAAGAGAAAAGCAAAAGGCAATCAAAGCAATCACTTGAGTAATTATAAGTTGGAACTGTGGATATAGAAATATTGAGAAAACAATACAGTAATAGAACAGGGTAAAGCAATTTGGATGATTCTGCAAACATAATGATATGAAAATCAACTCTCTTTGATTTCAAATCTCTTTTTCTTTTTTCTACTCGAAGTTATCAGGATCGAATTCTGATCACTGAAATTAAAAGTCCAGTACTCTACTCTAACCGATCCTCTAAGTATTTTACAACTTTGAATAATCAACAATGAGAACAAAAAGATGTTTCGTTGGTCAAATAAAGTCAAAACTATTGATAATCACAAACTCATATTCATCTATACATATATCAGTAACAATTAGAAGAAATTAATGACAATTTTTGCATTCTAATTTGTGATTTACCCTCAAAACAATCTTTTATCACATCCATAATGTACTACAAAAAAGCAACAAGGCAAAAGAATTGCACTGAATTGATTATTTTTAATAGGAAAGTTTCAGAATTAAAGAGCAGTGAACAGTGGAAAACCTGAATTTTGGAACAATCAAGATGCTTCTGTATTTCTTGAAGGCGAACGACATCTTGATAGACATATTTGCAGATCTGAAGCGACCGGTGCTGGCTGTGGGCCTTGCAATGCCTACAAAACTCGAGATTGCAGTCGATGCAGAACACATTTTTCTCATTTTTTCTGAGGTCTTGATGATCAGAGCAAGAACCAAAGAACTCAATTTGCAGAAGGCTAGTAAGCCAATCTGTTTTCTTCTTTATGTACAACCCGCAACCCACCTACAATAACAAATTCAAAAAGCTTGAAAAGCAATGAATTTTCAACATTCTTGATTTACAATTCATTCCAAGTTCACAGCTTTGATAGATAAGTACTCAAAAGCAATAGAAACACAATGGTAAAGTCAATACAGAATGTGAGAAACAGATGAACTCAGTATCAAGATTCAACATCTGATTGATAAAAATTTGAACAGAACCATTACAATTCAACAAACTTCAAGATTCAAGATTCAAAATTCAAACACCAGATATAAAGCTGTTGTTGAATTCATGAAAGGTTGAAAATTTCAAGAAAATTAAATTAACCCAAGAAGCTATACAGGGCTTTTTTCATGAGTATATCAAAGCTGCATCAAATACAAGAATAAAAAAGATTGTATTTCTTTGCGTTATCTAAAATTTCCTGGGAACCAAACAGACCATGACAGCCAAATAACATCGATCACCAAAAGGAAAATCAGATAGCCATCATTTAACACTTGAGATTATGTTTGCTAAAAAAAAAAAAATCAGAAGAGACATCAAAAGTTAGTGAAAGAAACAGAATTCTCACCATTTCTTTACAATTTGCCAAACTAGAATTTGCAAAGAAAGTTGAGAAAAAGGAAAAGAAAAGACAGAGAAGCCTACAGAATGTGAACAGAGTGATATAAGGAATGTGCAGTGAAAGATACTAAAAACAGAGAAATTTTTGTCACCAGCATTTGCTAGGAAAACGAGTTACCTAACCTAGGCGGGAAAGGTAAATAAATCATTCTGATTGGAGAGTTAAAACTTGATCGACGGTTATTAATTTATTAAAATTTTGTAATGAACTTGTTTTGTTGGAAAACATCATGATCATGATTCACGAGCCTATTTAAAGTAATTTCTGTGACTGTAATTTTTATTAATTATTAATTAATTAATTTTACTTGACTTGTTAGTGTATGAAAATTGAAACTAAATAATTTAATTTAATTGATCTATATAATTATAAGTAAAGTTTGAAATTTAAATTTCAACATTTACATTATCTTTTTTTATCTCAAATTATGATTTTTATTAAAAAATTGAAAATAATTAATAATTAATAATTTATTTATTGAATAAAAATACAATAAATTTACCAATTAATTATGTTTTTCAATTTTTGAGAAATTACTAAATTTCATATAGTATTATTTGACAAATCATAGAAAATTTTTTATTTTTGAAGATTTGAGAAGTGATTTTTTACTTTATTCTCAATTTGCTCCATTAGATTAGCTCTTTTCAAGTGGCAATTTAGTAAAAAAAAAGAAGGAAAAAAAAGTTAGCATAAGTCAAAAAAAAAAAATCTAAAGAACAACAAATAAAATCTTGAGGGAGTGTTTAGCTCGTAAAATTTTAAATTTTTAGAAGAAAAGTGATTTTTAAAAAAAGTGTAGATTTTGGTAAGGATGAGTTTTTTTTTTTTCATGAAATTATTAGATTTTTATGTTTAATTATAGAGAAAATCAAATTACTTAATCAAGTATTTTTATTATAATGTCTGTCAATACATAACAAACACCATGTTCTTGTCAAATATAAATGCAGTATTTGACTTAAACAATATGAAATCAAATAATCCATAATTATTGCATTTCAAATCTTAGAAATGCAATATTCGAATAGTCAATTTTATAAAAAGAAAAAAAGAAGTGTAATCAATTATAGCATTTTGTTCATTCAAGAAACAAAACAAATAATCCTCAATTATTGTATTTTAAAGCCTAAAAACGTAATATTCGAGTAAAAAATTTTAAAAAAGGTTAGAATCTAATACTGTGATTAGCTTTTAAGAAATGCAGTATATAATCCACAATTATTGCAATTCAAAGCCTTGAAACATAATATTGGAGTGAAAAATTTTTTAAAAAATAACATACTTTATGTTTATATAAAAAAGAGTTAATAGCACATTTGGTTTTTAAACTATGAGTCAAATTCTATATTAATTCATAAACTTTAAAAAAATTTAATTAAATCCTCAATTACCTAAATGTGTGTCAATATGATCTTTTCATCTACTAAACGTTCTAAATTGACAATAAAATTTTATGTGATATAACACATAATTTGAACAAATTGTATTACATAAAATTTTTTAAATGCCAATTAAACAAATTAAAAAAACAAAAAAAATTTTAATGTCCCTAAACCCTAAACTTATAACAGAAAAACCCTTCAAAATTATGATATCTTCAAGTGTAACACTAGCTTTACCCCAAGAAAAAAAATGAAACTTTTGGTCTAACAACACCATTTCTCAACTAAACCAAGAATCAATTATTGTTTCTCTTGATCTGGTAAGTTAAATTCATGATGGCTTTATAAACCAACTTTCTTCCAAGTCGATTCATGTAAAACAATCATCTTCTCATTCCATGTGGACTAATTCTTTGCCTTGCATCTCCACCCATGAAAACTTATACTTGAATGCATATTTTTGGGCTCAAAAGAAGGTTGTTCCAAAGAGGAAAGACGTTGAAAAGAAAGCTTAAGAAATGGGTTTTCAAGGGGATTAAAAATGGGTTTAAGAAAATAGACTGTTCCTGAACAAGGATTTTAGTTTTAGCCTGTTGGATAAACCATGAGCTCTTCTCTTACTTTAACCATGGTATTTTCCAACTCCTTCATAGTTGAATTTAGATCGAAAATTTTCAGGAGACTGAAAATGAGTTTGAGAAAATGAGCTATCTTCCATGGTCATTAAATCATCTCATCTCAACAACTGAAAATGGATTTGAGAAAATGAGTTTCTTACAAGCCAATATATTACATACAGCAACCCATAGCTCTCCCCTTTCAACTCTAAGCACCTCCCTCTCTTTTCAACACCTAAAATATTGAAAAGATGGTTAATTTTTTTAAGTGGACATTAAAGTACTTTTTGTCTTCTTTTTTTTTTTTTTGCTTAGTTGATATTTAAAAAATTTTACGTAATACAACTTATTCAGATTATATGCTATGTCACATAAAATTTATTATTAATTTAGATAATTCAATAAATGGAATAATCACATTAATATATGTTTGATTAATTAAAGATTTAATTAAAATTTTATAAAATTTAAAAATTAATATAAATTTTTACCCATAATTAAAAAATCACACGTATTATTAACTTTATAAAAAAATCATTTGAGGCTTAAATACTGTATTTATCCACAAAGAAACGTAATGAAAGCCTATATTATTATGTTGAAAGAAAAAATGACAATGCCCTTAGCTTAAGGGTCTACGTGGCACTATGTAAATCACTAAAGTTTATATTACATGGCTATAAAAGAAAAAATTGACAATGCGCATGGCTTAACGGCCTATGTGGCATTATCTAAGCCACTCCTTATGCATTGCTTGCTTTGCTTTGTATTTGACGTTTTGTTCTAGCATCATTTATTGCTTTGAATTTGATCTATTATTACATTTCTAATTTTAGAATCAAAGTATTTGAATTAGTGTTGCGTTCCCATTGATAGAAATGTAGTATTTGTTTGATTAAATATTACATAATTGACATTATAAATGTATTATTTATTTGGTTAAAAATTATTATTTTATAAATATTACATTTTTTATATAAAAAACATAATATTTGTAATTTAGTCAAAAGTATTTTGTTATTTAACACTAATTTTTAATTCAAGTTAAATGTGAAACCAAATATAATAACTAGTTTCTAGAAAATCTTAAAAAATTACAAAAAAAGATGAATTTTTTATTTCAACATTTTTTAGTACTGTTGAAAATATAAGATTTTTTAAACTAATTAAATACTCGTAAACTAAATGTGGGAATCACATTCTCATAAATATGATTTTGAGAAAAATTTCAAAATTTTTTGAACTAAATGTTTCGTAAATCAGTGTATATTTACAAACAGTAAGTTTAAAATTTATAACTTTTTACCTCAAATTATAACTTTTTTATAAAAATTAAAATTGAATATAATTAATTACTATTAATTTTATTTATTAAATAAAAATATAATAATTTTCAATTAATTATGTTTTTTAAAATTTGAGAAATAATTAAATTTCATATAATATTATTTGACAAATCACATAAAGATTTTTATTTTTTAAGATTTTAGCAGTGATTTTTCTATGGCTTCAATTTGCTCCATTAGGTTAGCTCTTTTCAAGTGATAATTTATTTTTAAAAAAGAAAAATAATAATTAGAACAAGCAAAAGACAATCTAAAGTACAAAAAAATAAAATCCTAAATCAGCGTATATTATAATGACAATATTATCTCTTAAAAATTTAAAAGAAGGTTAAAAGCATGGAGAAATTTGAGTTTAGGTAGGGCATAATAAGATTTAAGAAAAGGGGTTGTCTTTATCTTGTAAAGAAAATCAGTTCATAAAAAAATTTCTATATTTGCTCCGAAATTTGTTAAATCTGAACAGGATTTTCAAAATATTAATAATAATAGAGGAAAAAAATAAACATATCTATAATTGATATTTTAACTATCTTAACAAAATTATACCTATTTTTAATAGATTAAAATATAATTTATAAATATTAAAACTTAAATTTATTAAATATTATTTTTTAAAAATAACAATATAAATCAATTAAATTTAATCTCCAATTCAAGGTTACCCATTTTTACAATTTTTTTTATATCTATCATATTTATCCCTAATTTGGGTTTGTAATTATTACTTTTCTTAATTAATTAAGTATAAAACTGATAGTAATGATATATTTTTTTACATTTATTAGAGGCTGTTTATTTATTTTATTACTTTGATATTTTCTAAAATATTTTTAGATAAATTTAATTGGATTCATTTCTCCAACATTTCAAAAGTAATATAAAACATTAAAGAAAAAGACTGAAATCAAAGAATGTAATATAATGGACCAAGACAAAAATAATTAATTATTTATTTTGATAAAATTATTTAATATGCTCATCCCTTATGAATATTTATGACTTAATGAAAATTCTTGATAACATCATTTAAAATATAAAGATAATGGATAAAGGAAAAAAGGCAACATGTAGTCTTGGCTCTTGAACTAATAATTAATAATTTTTTTTTCACAAATAAACCATAGTTTGATATAAGAGGAAAAAATTATAGTTATTAAATTTTAAAATTATTAAATATTATTTTTTAAAATGTTTGCATAAATTAACTATAATATATATATTTGTTTGTGTTTTAAATATTAGTGGCAACCTCATTCAAGCAATCAAGCATGGTCTAACAAAAAAACACATAACACTTGGAAGTAAAAAAAAATGCCAATAATTATGTAATATGTCGATAAAATATTAAAATTTAAATTCTAACAATCTTAAATATAAAAACATTTATTTATTTTCACATATAAAGATTTAAACTTTGGCCTACAATAAAAAAAAAAAATGCTCCAATATTCTTTCCTAGCAACACCAGTATTAACATTATTCTATCTCATATAAATGTCAAGACTTAAATATGATACCCTTACCGCAATGATAATGCATTTATTTGGTAGGAGAAAATGATAATAAATATATGTAAAATAAATGAAAATGCGAAGGAAAAGACATTATATATATATATATTATATTATAACATACATAATTATCAGAAATTAATTGTTGACGTAGACGTTTATGTAAATAATTTTTTTTTCAACACATAAGATAATTTTTAAAATTTCTCATTATAATAATAAATAGATATTTATTAATTTTAAATTATTTAAAAAATA